GTTACACTTTCAGATAAGGGGGAGATGAGGAAAGGGTTTGCTGATTCTAGATGGGACTCCCACAGAGAAAGGGTGATGAAGGAAGCAGAGATGAAAAGTACCAGACACAGTGAAAGAGAATGAGCCTCTCCTCTGTACGGTGTCACACCAATGTTTATTGCTATGTGGGTAGCACAGTGCTTGGTACTAAGGGAAACAATAAAACATTGATAAATGCTCCTTAACTTCAGGAACTTAATCAAAGCTCCAGAAAGGGAAACACATAAGGTATGTTTGTGGAATAATCATCAAGCTTGCTGTAGCTTAAAGGTGAGTGAAGAGCCGAACACAAGCAGACTTTCAATGAATACTGGTTGAATGAGTGACGTGAGCCTGTGTGTGTGTGGCTGGGGCGGACTGCGTGTTTGAAGGTATGCATGGGCGTGTGTTTGGGTGGTGCTGTTGGAAGAAGGGAGACCATCTGGGGAAGACTTAACCAGACAGCTATGCCCGTCCAGCTGTAGAGGGCCTGCTGTGCCTACTTGAATGTCTGGGCCACAGGCTGCTTAAGATAGATGGAGTGAAGTTCTTAGAGCAAGGGAGTGATGTGGTGGTTCCCTGGCCCTCCAGGAGATTACTTTGTGGCAGGTAAGGCAGCAGCACGGAGGAGTGCAGGGAGGCAACAGAGAATACGAGGAGGTCATGAATAGAAATTGGACATTCACACAGTTCAGCAAGTCTGACCAGGGAGCTGGCAGGGAAGACCCCGCTCTCCTTCCCCAGCATGGCTGACTGTTGCTAAAACACAAAAGCATGCAAGGTGTGGCCATAGTGCCACATCTGCCACTTTTACTTGAACAGATAAGAACTGAAATAAAAATGAGTGTTATCTACATTGATGTGGTCGCCTGGAAGATACGCAATGTCTTTGATGGAAAAAGATGTGCCAAAGTAAGAAAACCACATTTCTTTTGTGGCTCTATAGCAGATTAAAGGTAGATACAGACTCTTTGGGGGTCTGTGTCTCCCCTGCTGAACAAGGGGAGGGCTATGTGACTGCTTGGACTGGTGGGATAGTTACCAGTCCCAGGTCTGGCAGCTTCTACTTCCTGCCTCTTAGAACGCTCACTCTGGGGGCAGCCAGGTACCAATGAAGACATGTCTTTGAGCTTACTCCATCATGCAGGGAGGAAGCCCAGGCCAGCTATGTGGAAAGGCCACATGGAATAAGAGGTGACCAGCCAGCCCCAAACTGTTCCAGCCATGCCAGCCCAGGCACCAAATGTGAAAAGTGTAGAAGCCGTTGTGGATGCTGAGCTCCCCTCCAGCCCCACTGAGCTGTCATATGACTCCAGCCCCAGCCAACAACTGATTGCAACTCCACAGAAGACTCCCAGAGAGAATAGCAGAGTCCAACCAAGCCATGGAACCATGAGCAATAACCATAGATTGTTCTTCTAAGCCATTAAGTTTCAAGGTGATTTGTTACATCAGATGATCACTGGAACAATCAATGCCAAATAAGGAGTGCCAGAAACGCTTCCAACAATCGCAGCATTCTTGGGATAACAGTCTGATATTGCAGAGGGATTCCACGAAAAGCAACATTCACTTACATGTATAAGTTGTGGCTTTAAAAATAGTGTTTGCTTTACCTTGTATTCACATGGAAGCAAGGCTGTAGACCTCATATACAGTCATAAATCAAACATACATATACAAAATATATTTTAACAAAGCCAGAATCACTGATGCCAAGAAATGAACACAGAAGAAATAATACCAGCAGTTAACTTGCTATGTGCCAGGCCCTGTGCTTAATGCTTGTCCTGGATTACTTTATTTGCTTTTCCTAGCACCTAATAAAGTAGGAAATACTGCTATATCCATTTTTTAGATGAGAAAATTGAGCCTCAGAGAGACGAAGTAACTTGCACCAAACTAAGAGATATATAGCAGCAGATATCATATACAATCCCATCTGTTTGATTCTAGGGCTTACACTTTTAACGTTAAGTTCTTATTCCATCTGATCAAACCAACTAAGGCTGTATCTTCTAAATTAGGCTCCTCAAACTATCTGTGGTAAAGTATCTTTTTTTTCCCCAAATCGTCACTGTCTTTTCCTATTTCCATGCCTAAATATCTTGGCAATGCCCAATTGCTGTAAAAGTTTCTAAATTCTTCATCTCAACCTCTGTGCCTGTCTCATGGAGAACTGGCGATGAACGGTTTGCAGACATGAATGGTCCAGGGCCACACCGTGAGTAGCATCTTCCACATGATGTATGTAACCTGTCCACTCAGAAGACACTGCTTCAAGGTGTGATGTCCAATGTGAGGGTCCAGAAACTGTTTCCAGTTTTTCAAGATTTCTAATACAAATTCGAAAATTACCCTTAATAACACTTGTTCTGTTTCCGTCCCAACTGCAATATAATTGACACTCACCACCTGGAGGTAGCACAGGCCCCGTGAATTAAGGGATCAGTCCTCCACAAGACTGCCCTCATTTCAGATACCAGCTACACGTGGGGTCCCCAGGCCACCCCCACTTCCAAATGTCCAGCTACCCATCCCCAAATTCCTATGACCTTCAGGCTAGATAATGTGCTACAATGAGTAACAGAAGTAAGGGAATTGCTGTAATTGTGGTTATAATTTCATTGTAAAGGATACATGTAGGGTGACATCTAGAGGGAATGCAGTTTCCACACCCTTTCCTCATGGAATCTAGGTATGTCACCCTCCTGGCATACCAAAGTTTTTACCAACCAGAAAGCTCCACTGAGCCTCAGTGTCAAGAAGTTTTACTGGGGTTTCATTACACAGGCACAATTGGTTATATCACTGGCCATGTGATTGAACTCAACCTCCAGTCTCTCCCTGCTCCCTGGAAGTCGGGCCAACCCAAAGTTCTAACCCTGTAATTTCACCTGGTTGGTCTCTCTGGTGACCAGCCCTCAATCTGAGGGCATCTAGGGGCCCAATGTGAATTGCCTCATTAGCAACGAAGATAGTCCTATCACTCATGAAATTCCAAGAGTTTTAGAAGCTCCATGCCAGGTTTGGGCCAAAGACCAGACAAGTTTTTTATTGTATCATTTCAAGGCTGCAGTAGCCAATTTAAAGGGCAGTCTTTCTGTTTCTGGTTGGGAATCACCATTACCTGGTTTCCCCACACTGAGCAAGAGCTTGGGCGGGAAGCTAAAGAAAGGGAAACAGAAGTTTCTTATTTTAGCATTTGCTCGAGAGAATATTTATAAACCACAGAGGCAAAGGCGAGGTGGGTGCAGAGTGGTGGGAGATAAAACAATGAACAAAAAGCCCCGGGTTTGTTGGGAAGGAGCTAGAAACCTCTGGCTTGTGGCATGGGGCTGAGGGCCAGTGTCCCCCATGCCAGAAGAGCCAATGTTGCCTTGGTTCAGTGGAGTCAAGAAGCTGCAGAAACTGGAGCTGAGAAGGTGAACCTGCTACACTTCATGGCAGGATTCGGATGATCAGACATAGATGTCATCCTGTGAAAATGCTTTATACCCAAGTAAAGAGGTAGGAAGCCTGTTTGTGGTGAGGAGATGACAGACATGAAGGGAGAAACAATAATGAGAGGACATCTGG